CATATATATATATATATATATATACATATATATATATATATATATCAACTCCTATATATTTATGAACGGTTATCCTGTGTGAAAACATTTTTAGGTGTTATTCTTTGATAAGAGCATTTTTAAGAATTTTTTTAATTTTTATTTATCATATTTATTAATAAATTAAATTTTAATATTTTGAAAATATATGATCAATATTTAAAAATAATCTTATATTGTTGTATAAATTAATTGTCTTAAATATAAAATTTAATAAAGTGAAGATCAAACTTGGTGAAATTAGAATGAAGATCAAACTTCTCTAATTCTAAGGCAGTCAAAGTCACCTTCTGCACCAAAGGACATCCCAAAGCTTGGAATATCTTTTCAACATCAAAAATCCAGTCAACAGCTCCATTAGGATTATAACCCCCACGGAAGCTTGGCGGATTATTTCGCTGGAATCTCTCCAGCCAATCTACCTCTGGTCGTTGGTTCAAAGTACCAAGAGCCTGAGCCATCGCCTATAGAGCATCAGCCATTGCATGATCATTCCTACCTCCTTCCATTACTCTTCTGATCCACATAAGAGTTAACAATTATACTATAATTAAATAAATAACAAACTTAATCAATCATCATACTACCATATCAACAAGTTCTACAATCAATTCATCTACCAAACAAGCATAGTACGTAGACTCATAACTCACAGTCGATTGGATCGACCTGCTCTGATACCACTAAATGTGACACCCTTACTACCCTAACACATATATATTGTAATAATGTAAATAAATTAAGGAAATAAATTTTCAACGTTGGTAAAAGGGTTTACATAAAACCTTCATAATTGTTTTTCAATATCCAAAATAATTGAAAATAAAACTTGGAAAGTAAAACTTAAGAGTTTACAAATTGTTTTCAAAAGAAAAGGTACAACTCCAAATACATATAAAAATTTATATCCTAGAATCCTCTGCCCCGATGTCACAATATCATAGCACACCCACAATTCAATTGTTGGCATTCTAGATGTCACTCATAGCCGGATCTTTCTCACCTAAAACATCCACAAATTGTACAGTGAGAAAAGAAAATATCTATATGTACAACACACAAGGAAACACACAACATAATCTCATCATAACTCATTACTTAATGAAATATTCACAACCATTTCTAATTCTATTAATCATGCATCATATTCACATCACAATTCACAATCATACCAATCCATTACAAATCTTGCAATTAACACTATGTCAAGGTCACGCTACCCCTGTAGCAGCCCAAGGTCGTGCTCACCCCTGATATAACAATGTGCAAAGGTCATGCCACCCCTGTAGCATATCTTGACCAAGGTCGTGCCATCCTTGACATGTTATCCAAGGTCACGTCACCCATGTAGCATTTCTTGCTCAAGGTCGTGCCACTCCTGACATAAGTCATACGTATTAATTGCCTCTAACATCCCACACGGAAAATTATAGATAGTGGAACTTGATCGAGTTAATAAAGAATTGGACATAGTCTAGATAGTTGACACGAACTACTATAAAAGTACTTTTTGTTCTTTGTTTCTTGCTTTATCTGCATTATTTTCAGACTTACATTACTACTTCATTCTTTTAAAAAGTGTTGAGTTTTTTTTATTGACACTATTTAGGCTTTTTGACCAAAGTGGGGTCGTTGACCAAGTTATTTACGTAAATGAGGTTGTTTTGAATTTATTTACGCCTTTGGGGCTGTTTATAACGGTGTCGCTATAGCCCATAGCGACACTGGTGACACGTGGCATTTTTTTCACTTCAGGGAAGCCATGAAAGCCATATAGATAAAGTCGAATGAATAGAATAATTGAGGTTGTTCTTTTTCTTAGGTATGGCAGAAAAACCTGACCCCATGGGTACCCGCTTGAACCTGACCTAATTTTGATGGGAAAAATCTGCGTTGATTAGGGTTCGGGTTTAGGTTTGAGTTTTCCTTGATTATTAAAGTCGAGGAAGGTGATGGTAATACCTGCCTCACCCATGACCTCGAACCCAACCCTGCTGCCACCCTGACATGTATTATACCAAAACAATGTGAAATCCTAATTGACACTTCTTCTATTCTTTTGGTTTCAACTCTAACGCTTTGCACTACTTCAGCTTCGACCTTTGGTGCTTTATGTTATTTTGTCTCTAATGTTCCGTGTTATTTTCTCCCTACTTCTTCAGAGAGTAGGCTAAGGTAATTTCATGTTTGTTCTTCTAGTTTCTAATTTAACCTAGTTGATTTCAAACCCTTCACAATCCTTTTTCGTTGACGAATGCTACTCAGTTGATTATTTTAAGGTTACATTTAAATTATTTTAGTTTTTTTCATTTTTTTTCTTAAATGGTGTCGCTATGGGCTACACCATCTTTGTTGGCTCACAAACTGTGTTGGTCCAGCCCATAGCGACACTGTTGTGGCTCATTCCAGCCATCCCTACGCCAAAAAAAAAAAGCCACGTGGCATGGGTGTCGCTATGGGCCATAGCGACACCGTTGTAAACAGCCCCAAAGGCGTAAATAAATTCAAAACAGCCTCATTTACGTAAATAACTTGATCAACGACCCCACTTTGGTCAAAAAGCCCACTATTTAACTATAATTATAATTGGGTATAAGGTATACGAGTAGATAGACACCTAGTTATAGTTGGGTGTATCTGTTCCCCCAATCTGTAAACAACAAATGTTTGTCTTGTGATACGTTTTTTTCCTCTCCTAAATTTTATAATTTGAACTCAACTAATATTTGAAGTAAAATGTGAAACATGCAATGACTAGACCATAGACTAGATCCAAGACATCCCAACAATATTAGTACCCCAAAGACTATTGATAATTTGCAACATGCTTAATAAAATATATTCAAAAGAAGAAAGAAGATAAGAGTGGAGAGACTAGACCAAAAGCCACAAAATAAACTAACATAAGGAAGGATAAACCATATTCATTCTTAAAAAATGCTTCCCTAGAACAAGTAGAAAGAGAGTCCCACCAAACATAGTCAATTTTAGAAGAAAGACCAAAATTAGCCATCTTATCCGCACATTGATTACCTTCTTTGAAAAATATGAGAAGAGAAAAAACACATGAATGTTAATAAATGAAGACATCTATTTCATCTTCCATGAAGCTGCCATGGAACAATATTTGCATTGGACAATGCTCGTAACATAAGTTGGGAATCACATTTTAGCCATAAATGAAATCATTCCATAGCATGAGTTGTTTCAAGTGCAGTAATATTTGCAACGACTTCTGCATATAA